TTAAGTTTCAAATTATAAGAAAACTCTTGTTGATTTGCATAAGGCATTTTTCTTTTGTCAGAAAATATGGAATTTCATTGTTTGCTAATTTTATACAATGATTTTTCACTGGCATCAACGTTCTGTTAGTGTGAACTTGGGAATTAAGAAACAAGTAATCTATTTTAATTTAGTGGCACTTTATTTCTTCGTTCAATGTATACTACTAGCTGCCAAATCTAGATTTTATTCGGATTAATGTCGCTTACTAATTCATAGAATTTTATCGACATCTTAATTTGTTTGTGACCTAATGTTATTTTGATTGGCATTGAAAGTTAAAGAGTCAATAGTCCCTTATTAACCTTTCAACTTTTTAGCTAGTTTCTGAAATAATACTTTATATGTATTAGTTTAATGTCCATGAGAGAAAGAGATCCACAACATGATATTAAATCTTTGGCATGTTGACTTCAAGGGTGACTAGGGACATGTCCACTTGCCATTTTAAATAAATCTTCCTTTGTATTCATACATACGTTACATTGTTAAATGTATAAATATGTTACCTAAATTTGCTTTTATGTGGACATGATATTTGATTGTTACGTTTTATATCAATAATGTTTCTCATGACGTTCTTGCACGTCAATGCATCTATAGGCATACATGAAGTTTCCAAGAACTAAAAAATTTCCAAATGTGAATGAGTCAAAGAATATATAAAAAGATATATATCTCAAATGTTTTTGTTAAGAGGTGTATGTTTTTGCCATGAGAAGTGTCAATGGAAAATGGGGCCTCATCTGAGCAATGTTTAGTTTTGAAGGTTTAATGTTTATGTTAATCATTTTGCAGTACTGCTGATAGATTGAATCATGTTCCAAATAACAATGGGCTGTTGCATTCTTATTGGCTAGACGATACACTAAGCCACCTCACAATATTAATGTTAAATTTTAAAACAAATTGAGGGAAAAGGGGATACATTTTACGAAAAGCTATTTATTTTAAAGTAATTTATATGTATATCATAGGTATGCATCATATGCATAAGGTTTAATTACTGAATGTTAACTTATACCACGTTAATCTTTTCCTTTTTTAGATGATGAATGCAATATGATTCAAAGCGATTACTTATGGTGAGATGTACTTAGTACTAACATGAATATTGATTTCATTTTGAAGATGAAGTTAATATTCAATTTAACTGTCTTAATTTTCATTAAGCACAAATTATTTTTATAAATGAAGTCATCAATGTTTATCATGTTAAAAAAAAAAAAAAAAAAGATATTTCGTATTTATGATTTTAAGGGAAAATTTCTTCCAATCTAGATTATCTAGATTTGGAATGTTTTAGTGTATCAAAATGCTTCTGAGGGTAGCATTATCCAAAGGCAGCACTCTTAATTTGAATTTCAACAAGAACTTCGTTTGAATACTGTATTTGTTGCAAGTAACCCCCTGGCCACCAACCCAAACCTCTTTTCATTATAAAAGAGCTCATTTGATCAAATCTAGTGATCGTCTTTCTTTTTTGTCTTCTTTTCTTTTCTTTTCGTTTCATTTTATTTTTATTTATTTAATTAAAAGTAAGGACATTGTAGTTTTTTAATCGGGGGGGTGGGGGGGGTGGGGACAGAAATCATAAAAATGGATCATCTGCTAGATCCACGACATGAAAATACATTAGGGACCGAAGTCACCCATAAGCCATAGATTAGGGACCATTTGTGCCCATTTCCATAATATTTTGAGAAATTTTAATTTTTTGGGTTTTTTTATTTTGAGAAAATTATTTTATTTGGATTTCTTTGATTTTAATAATCACCAACTAAATTTCCTTTTAACCCTAGCCATCCTAATTTAAAAAAAAAAAAAAGAAGAAAAAAAGAAAGAAAGAAAGAAATAAAATTAAATCCTGATGATTTTAAATTTTGATTGAATCTTTTCTCAAGTCGTTTTGTGAAATTGCCTTTTTTGTCGCAATTTTGTTCCCACGGGCACTACTCGTCGCTCTTCACATATTTGTTTAATTTTACCATTATAAAATCAATCAGGATCGATCGGTTTAGTAGGAAAAATCGATCGGTTTAATAGGAAAAAACTGAATGAGACCAAAAGGCAATCTAGTTATTATATAATTAAAATTTCTTAGAAAAACGACCCGCAATCGGCGCAATCAGTAAATTAATTATGATTTTACCAGTTTTCCACATTACTTTATGAAAGGACAAACAAAAAAAATTCCTTCTTGACATATATATTCTTCATTTCCACACCACTGTGTGATATAATCAATCATGTTCTTTGAAATTTAGGTTTCCTTTAACATAAAAAATTACCTCATTGATTAACTGTCAAGCAGATACGTGGGAATTTGGTACAAAAAGATACCTATTAGAACTGTAGTCTGGGTTGCCAACAGAGAATTTCTTCTAAACAATACAGCATGAATGTTGAAGGTCATCGAGCCAGGACTTCTGGTTCTTTTTGTTTTACAATTTGAACTTCATAAAATTGTTACCAAATTTAAATTATATATAAATATAAGGATACACCAATTGTTTTATTGATGGGATTGCTCTTCCAAAACCATGTCGCTTTTTTGCACTTTGAAAAAGTAAAATTGTTAACAAATTTAAATTATATGTAAATATAAGGATATGTCAATTGTTTTATTGATGGGATTGCATATCAATGACAATAAATATAACGTAGTCCCTTTATAACAATGTTTTAACAACGGTTATTGTTTATGCATTCTATTGGAACAACAATTTCAATCATATTATTGCTTTTATATTCATTATCTTGTTCTATTTGCCTCCATAATAGATGAAATGTTAATTCTATATCCATATTTGTGAAAAAATTCAAATAAAATAATGTGAGACTTTTTTTTTTTTTTTAAAGAGTTACATGGTTTGTCACTTTTAATTTTTTGCAAATTAACACATACACAAAAAATACAAATAAAGTGGTACATCACGTCACTATTTAATGTAAAACAAGATTTGAATCCATATTCACATCTATTTTTTTTAATACGCATATATGCATTTCTTTTATTGATTCTAAATAATTCAAATGAGATAAGCTGTGATCTTTTTAGAAAAAAAGTGGCAGAATGTCACCTTCAAAATCTAAAATCTTAATTCATATGTAAAATACAAAATAAAGTGTTATATTATATCACTTTTTAATATAAAACAATGTTTCAATTCATATCCATATTTACATTTTCACAAACACACTTGTTTGCATGTATTTAATTGAAACAAAGGAATTTAAATGAGACAGATTGCAAACTTTTCAAAGTGAGAGTGCTCCACTTTTCCCTTCTCATTTTCTTAAACACGTTACATGCATCACTTGAATTGATTAAAAAAGTTGATTTTTCATATATATTAACTCAATCGAATTCACACAAATCTAAATGTTACTGTATACTAATTCAAAATTCTTAATCTAAAGATAAAATATCATATGTGCTAGAACCAAAAATAAAAAAATATAATATAATGAAATGAAACAAAGTATAAACTAATTGAATAAAAAAATTAGAAATAATACAAACCTACAGATTTGAATTGATTATTTACAAATTTGGAGGAAAAAAATTTGAAGAAAAAGGTAGTTAAAGCAACTCTTGATCTCTTTTGGGCTTGATTTGTACAAGATCTCCGCTTATAATTTCGATTTTGCTTGATTTGGAGCTTGGTGGATTCGAATTTCTGCTGAATTTGGAGCTTTATGTTTTTTATTTCTACACCATATTTCTTACAGTTTTGGAGGTGAAATATTAGTATTTACATTTTATTTCATATTTACAAATTTTTCAATTGGTACTAGGATACAACTTAAATCTCTCTAAAGGAAGGTTATGTGTTCGAATCCTGGAAATGCGGCAGAAAGTTGTGAGGGATAAAAAATTTCCTCCCAAAATGAGTAGTATGTAAATTAATGGTTTGGACTCAAAGGCTGGGTCAGGGCAAATATCCTCCCAAAGCGGACAGTACGTAAGTTAATATCTTGAACACAAAAGCTAGATTGTTACAAAAAATTAGTGAGGGGTAAAATGACTAGGCTCTCCCAAAATAAATAGTACGTAAGTTAACTGTTTAGACATGGAGACTCAATCGTTACGAAAATGTGCATTTTTTGCAACGATCCAAGCCTTGTGCTCGACCGTTCTCTTATGTACCGTTCAATTTAGGAGGGCATTTATCCTCTTATCCCTCCCAACTTTCTGTTGCATTCCCCAAGATCCGAAAACATGACCTCCCATTATTCTCTGTACTCAGCTTAACTATCTCTTAATGGAAGGGCCATGAATTCAAATCTTGAGGATGCGACAAAAATCATAAGGGGTAAGACAGACTCAGGTTCTCTCATAGGGGACAATACGTGAGTTAACAACTTGAGCATAGAGGCCGAATCATTATAATTTAAAAATCACCAAGACCAATTTCCTCAAAACCGATTCAAAAAATACTCCCATGCATTAGAGTTTGGGTGAAGGAATAGGGACAGAAAACGGGGGAGGAATAGAAAGGATTTTGGGGTATTGACTTGCGGTTGAAATTAGTTTTAAAAAGAAAAGAATTTTTCTAATTTTCATACAATCTCAAGATTGGGCCTAATTTTCCTCATTAAATTTTCGCAAGTTCGCCTATACATAATTACAGTTGATATAGTTTTCAAAAAAAAAAAAAAATTATAGTTGACATTTTAAAAATTATTGTTGACATTTTTCTATTTAAGCTAAACTAACAATTATTAACTGCAAGCATAAATAGAAAGACCCGCTTATCCCAGGTCAATGTCAACGGGAATGGATAAGGGAAAAGTGGAAAAAGGTCGAAGCATGCATAGAATTTTGAAGAATATTATATTCTGCCTGTCTGTAATGGAAATATTATTTTTAATACTCATGATCATTAATCCATGTGTACATATATCAATTCTGTTAAACAAGAAGAACAGACGGAGATACTGTCAGAAATAGAACCATGTCGAACACAGATTTCCCCTTACTTTTTGTCTTAACCTTCTTAATGTCTGTCCACAAGATTTCCAATACAATGGATACTATAGATACTACACAGATCCTTAAAGATGGTGAGACCATTGTTTCATCTGATGGAACCTTTGAATTGGGATTTTTTAGCCCTAAAAGTTCAACGAATCGATATGTGGGCATGTGGTACAAGAAAATAACAGTTATGACTGTAGTATGGGTTGCCAACAGAGAAGTTCCACTTACAAATACATCAGGAGTCTTGAAGGTTATCGAGCCAGGACTTATAGTTCTTCAAAATGACAATAATGGCGTTATCATATGGTCTTCTAACACATCACAGCCTGTGAAAACTCCGGTGGCAAAATTGCTGGACTCAGGCAACCTTGTCGTGAAAGATGCAAATGATGATGACCCCGAGAATTTCCTCTGGGAGAGTTTTAATTATCCGACTGATACAATTTTCTCAGGAATGAAGTTCGGTTGGAACTTTAAAACTGGTCAAGAAGTGTATCTATCATCATGGAAGAGTGACGATGATCCATCTTCGGGAGATTTTAATTATCACTTTGATCCTACTGGTTATCCACAACATGTCTTGAAAAAAGGTTCAGTGGTGCAGTTTAAAAGTGGACCTTGGAATGGACTACGCTATAGCGGGGCTCCAAACTTGAGGTATAATCCTATTTACAAATACGGAGTAATTCTAAACAAAAATGAGGCGTACTTTTCTTTTGAGCTCCTAAACAGTTCAATTATTTCAAGATTTACCTTGAGCGAATGTGGTGTAGGACAGCGCATGACATGGATTAATCGAACACAAGAGTGGACAGTTTACATCACAGCTCCAACAGATAATTGTGACATTTACGGATTGTGTGGTGCATTTGGTAGTTGCAATATTGCGAATTCTCCGGTTTGTGGATGTTTAGATAGATTTCAGCCTAAAGATCCAGAAGGATGGGAGAATGCAGATTGGTCGAAAGGGTGTGGTCGCAGAACTCCCTTGAATTGCCAAAAGGGAGACGTATTTTTCAAGTATTCTGATATTAAATTGCCCGACACACAATATTCCCGGTTTAACAAGAGTATGACACTGAACGAATGCAAGGTAGCATGCCTTAGAAATTGCGCTTGTACGGCTTATTCTAGCTTGGATATAAGCACAGGGGGAAGTGGATGCCTACTTTGGTTTGGAGACCTAGTAAACATCAAAGAACTAGATGAGGAAGGCCAAGATATTTACATCAGGATGGCTTCTTCAGAATTAGGTTAGAATTTATAAAAATAAAATTTACTCTTCTTTTCCTATTCAATTGATTTGTATTCTTCTCATTTTCAAGGTTTTAACATCAATGAAAATTAATCCATTTTTTATTTGCATATAAAATTTTGCAGAGTTAAAAGATAGGAAAAGAGAAGTTCTTGAAGTAAGTTTGTCATTGTCAATAGGAATGGTTCTGATTGGGCTTTGTCTGATGCTGTTTCTTTGGAAAAGGACGAAAAGAAACCACATGCTGAGAAAAGGAGGTAAGAAAAATCTACCATTTTCCACTGAAGACAACCGGAGAAACAAAGCTCCTTCTTTTACTTCCAATTCAACGCTTTTGTTTCAGGCAGGCTAGTAGACAACTTTATGAACCGTAAAAATGATGAAATTCACAACAAAGACATACAGCTACCACTGTTTGATCTACATACATTAACTAAAGCTACAGATAATTTTTCAATTGATAACAAGCTTGGAGAGGGTGGGTTTGGACCTGTTTACAAGGTAATAATTTTTTTTCATTTTTCATTTATTGTCTTTCTAGGGATCTATGCTCTCAGATATTTATTTTTTGTCCCAAATTTATGGATGTTCAATCGATGAACAGCATTAAATAACTTGTTTGCATAATCATATGGAAATTTACTCTTCTTTTTATGTAAAACGAAGTCTTTTAAAGTGAGTGGAAGATGATTTGTAAAGATAGAAATAGTGAGGAATAATTTCAACTGTAAGGATAAGTTGGAGGAGAAAATAATAATTTATTAGGAAAGATAGTGGATTGCCATTTTGTATTGTTTGAGTTTTATCTCTTTATTTGCATCATGTTTTCTCATGAAGTGAAACTTGATATCCTTTTCTCCTGATAAATTAGTTTGATGATTTTATTTTAAGCGACAAAATTTTTCTTCGTTTTCAAATACTCGACAAATTTTTTCTTTGAATCAAAAGTCCGTCATATAACTTTTTCTTTTACAAATGTCACATTAGGAGTGGCAATTGGCCTTTATGTTCACAAGATGAGCCTAGCTCAGGCTCATTCAAGCTGCTCCGAGGTCGAGCCAAGCTCATGAGGAGACTCAATTATTCTAAATGCAATTATTGTTTTATGCATCCATGGTGGGCCTATATAGTGAGTAGACACAATTATATAATATTTTTTATTAATACCTTCTCATAAGTATGATGTGAAAGAGATAGCATCGTCATATTTTAGTAAATCATGTATTAGCATTTTTTTCTTGTGAAATAATCAATGCAATTAGAACAAATATTATTTCTACTTATTGGAACGTACCTTGGTTGTAGATGATCCTATGCGAATTTCATGAAATGTTTATTGTCCACTATGTTTATCGACAACTCAACACCGACTACGAACTTGACCATTGTTTCACGGCTTTTTTCTCTTGAATAGATCCATGTGTTGAGGGTACTAGGAGTACCAAAATGAAGTTGTGTTTGTGTTTGACCAATAAATCCATGTTTGACTGAACATTTCTTATAATGCCGATTGAGGTGGGTAGTTCTGATTCCACTAGCCATGCCAATTTCGTCTGACAGTACTTATATACTGCTTTGGATTCTTGATTTCGTCTACTAGACGACTCGTCAAAACCAATTTGAAGTAGTTTGTTTAAAAATTCCTTACGTCTCATATCAACTACTTTGAGTTTTTCTTCATCAGTGTTATCCAAATCAACTGGTCTACTACTCCCATGCAAATCTTCAACCCCCAAACCATCGAAATTGGGACGTTATTAAGATCGATAAAATTATTATCGAACATAGGAGACATGAATTGTGGTGTCAATGGTGAGTTACCACCACCAAACATAACCTCAACATAGCCATTGTCATCCACTTATAAAAAGAAATTGGAAGGTATAAATAGAAAATAATAGATGAAGAACTGAATTGAGAACGAAGTGAAAAAAATATGAAATTAAAAATATACAATTGTGTAACTTATGTTTGTATGAGTAATGTTGAATTGAATTGAGAATGAGATATTTAGACTGTAAAATGTAGATGACAGATTTATAGAATTTTTTAAAAATTATATATAGTCAAAGTGACCATTGAGGACCCCAGTCGTGGCTCATGGGCTCGATCCACTTGTCGCTCAATCAAATGCTTGGCTAGACCAATTACCACCCCTATGCCACATGGAAAATAATTGCTGTTATATTATCAATTTGTCTTCCTTGAGTTTCTTCGTTTTTATAATTTTCTTTAAATTTTCTCTCACATTCTTTTAATTTCTGAGATCACATATTAACTTTAGATTGAAAAGCATTATCCGTGTCAATTTTATAGCGTCTTTCTAATTTTTTTTCATGAGCTTATAGTGAATACATTAATTCAGCAGCTGTTAATTTATCTATATTTTTAAACTCTTCCACAATTGCAATGGTGGATCATACTTTTCTATATAAGTAATTAAATTTTTTCCAGGAACTTCATTTTCAAAAATGTCATCTACATAAGCTTTTAGTTGATACAATTTCAAATACTCTTGAACAATAATCTTTTATAGTCTCCAAATCTTCCATTTTTAGATTTTCATAATTCCTTCTTAAAGTTTGAAGCTTGTAAGTGCGTACTTTGTTATTGTCGAAGAACTCCTCCTTCAATTTACCCATGTTGCTTTCGCCATTTCAGCTCTCGTCATTCTTGGAAAATACTCATTAGTTAAGCTCATTTGTGGAGCAAGAAAAGCTAGAAAATCCTTTTGTTGATTCTTTTTTAGTCATATGCGACAGATTTATTATTATTATTATTATTATTATTTAACAGTCACCGATGACATCCCACAAAATTTGCGCATAAAAATCTTCCACGAATCGATATGTGGGCATGTGGTACAAGACGATTGCAGTTATTACTGTAGTATGGGTTGCCAACAGAAAAGTTCCACTTACAAATACATCAGGAGTCTTGAAGGTTGTCAAGCCAGGACCTCTAGTTCTTCAAAACGACACTAATGGCATTATCATATCATCTTCTAACACATCATGACCTGTGAAAACTCCGGTCGTAAAATTGCTGGACTCAGGAAACCTTGTCGTGAAAGATACAAATGATGATGATGACACTAAGAATTTCCTATGGGAGAATTTTAATTATCCGGCTGATACAATTTTCTCAGGAACAAAGTTCGGTTGGAACTTTGGAACTGGTCAAGAAGTGCATCTATCATCATGGAAGAGTAATGATGATCCATCTTCGGGAGATTTTACTTATCACTTTGATCCTATTGGTTATCCACAATGTGTCTTCGGGAGAGTTTTAATTATCCGACTGATACAATTTTCTCAGGAACGAAGTTCGGTTGGAACTTTAGAACTGGTCAAGAAGCGTATCTATCATCATGGAAGAGTAATGATGATCCATCTTTGGGAGATTTTACTTATCACTTTGATCCTACTGGTTATCCACAACATGTCTTGAAAAAAGGTTTGCTGGTGCTGTTTAAAAGTGGACCTTGGAATGAACTCTGCTATAGTGGGAAGCCTAACATGAAGTATAATCCTATTTACATATATGGATTAGTTCTAAACAAAAACGAGGCGTACTTTTCTTTTGAACTCCTCAACAGATCAATAATTTCAAGATTTACCTTGAGTGAAAGTGGTGTAAGACAGCGCATTACATGGATTAATCGAACACGAGTGGGAGGTTTATATTACTACTCAAACATGTAATTGCGATAGTTATGGATTGTGTGGTGCATTGGGTAGTTGCAATATGCGAATTCTCCAGTTTGTGGATGTTTAGATAGATTTCAGCCTAAAGATCCAGAAAGATGGCAAAATGCAGATTTGTCAAATGGGTTTGATGGCAGAACGCCCTTGAATTGCCAAAATGGAGACGTATTTTTCAAGAATTCTGGTATTAAATTGCCACACACAATATTCTTGGTTTAACGAAAGTATGACACTGACTGGGTGCAAGGTAGCATGCCTTAGAAATTGCTCTTGTACGGCTTATTCTAGCTTGGATATAAGTACAGGGGGAAGTGGATGTCTACTTTGGTTTCAAGACCTAGTTAACATCAAAGATGAATACGATTAAGGCAAAGATGTTTAAGGCTGGAAACAGTCCAACATTTCATTAGTGGGCAGCATAAGATTCTTGAAAATGACTGGCCCGGCTTTGTTGAATAACAAAGAAATTGAAGACAAGTCCAAATTCATTTAAACAACTCTATATTTATTTATAGTATCCATTTTGTAGGAATAAAAACATTATAGAAAGTCACAGAGAGAGATTTAGAAAACCCTAGCCACAATGGAAAATGACAAGGATAGTGCTGTAAAACTTGTAAGGTTCTGGGTTAGTCCATTTGTTCATCGGGTCAGCCGGTCAGGTGGGCTCTAAAACTGCAGGGCATTGAATATGAATATATTGAAGAAGATATCTTTAACCAGAGCCGTCTACTTTCAGAACTGAATCCTGTCCATGGAAAGGTTCCTATCCTTGTTCACATTGGAAAACCATTACCAGAGTCATTCGTTATTCTAGAACCTAGAGTACATCGGCGACGTATGGAAGCAGAATCCTTTGCTGCCTTAGAAATTGCTCTTGTACGGCTTATTCTAGCTTGGATATAAGTACAGGGGGAAGTGGATGTCTACTTTGGTTTCAAGACCTAGTTAACATCAAAGATGAATACGATTAAGGCAAAGATGTTTAAGGCTGGAAACAGTCCAACATTTCATTAGTGGGCAGCATAAGATTCTTGAAAATGACTGGCCCGGCTTTGTTGAATAACAAAGAAATTGAAGACAAGTCCAAATTCATTTAAACAACTCTATATTTATTTATAGTATCCATTTTGTAGGAATAAAAACATTATAGAAAGTCACAGAGAGAGATTTAGAAAACCCTAGCCACAATGGAAAATGACAAGGATAGTGCTGTAAAACTTGTAAGGTTCTGGGTTAGTCCATTTGTTCATCGGGTCAGCCGGTCAGGTGGGCTCTAAAACTGCAGGGCATTGAATATGAATATATTGAAGAAGATATCTTTAACCAGAGCCGTCTACTTTCAGAACTGAATCCTGTCCATGGAAAGGTTCCTATCCTTGTTCACATTGGAAAACCATTACCAGAGTCATTCGTTATTCTAGAACCTAGAGTACATCGGCGACGTATGGAAGCAGAATCCTTTGCTGCCTTAGAAATTGCTCTTGTACGGCTTATTCTAGCTTGGATATAAGTACAAGGGGAAGTGGATGCCTACTTTGGTTTGTACAACAAGAGGTTTTTTCTTACAGTTCCATTTTTTAATCCTATGACCTATTTATAGCTTCAGATGTCGGTGGAAATTGTGATCCAATTTCATCATTCTTGATTATTCTTCATGTGAAAAAAATAATAGCTACACATTTTACATGTTTCCCTATTATATTTTAGGAAGATTATATTCTAGAAAGAGCATCATTGTTTTATCCCTCGTCCTTGATGCTAATTTCAGTAACTTCAATTATCTCTCCCAGCAATTTAAAAAAAAAAAAAAAAATGGGTTGAATCATAACCTTGAGGGCGCCTATCGCCCCGCCCCTAAAGCTTTGTGAGGGAGATAAATCGTGGGATGTACTCCAACAGATCAAAGAACAAGAGCTGTCTGTACACTGCGCCTACAAGGAGTCCAATTTCATGTTTCAGGAATCGAACCCCACACCGCGACTGCCAGCAAAACATGAGATAACCTCACTCCTTTCCTTTGCACCACTCGGCTATGCCCCGGTGAGCATGTCTCCCAGCAATTTAAACTTTACTTGTGGTAGTGTCTTCATGAAAATAGCTGCTAATTGATTTATCTCTTTATTTACTTCATATTTTCTGACGAAGTGATATTTGATATCTTTTTTGCTGATAAATTAGCTTGATTTTTTTTTGTTTTAAACAACAAAAAATTTTGCATATCCAAATTTTTGACCGTCCTTCAAACAACTTTTTCTTTTACAAATGTCACATTCGGAGTATCAATGACGCGGCTCGGCCCTTGAGCTCACGAGCTCAGGTTTGTCAAAGCACAAGCTCGTGCTCGTGGGTAGAGCTTGGCTCCCCCCTTGTCCTTGTGAGGATACTTAATTAAATATATTATTAACATTACGAAGAAACTCAATTATTCTAAATGCAATTATTTTTTTATGCATTACCTATGGTGGATCTATATGGTGAACAGTTGCACCAATGGAACATTTTTTTTATTAATACCTTCTCATAAATCAGATGTCAAAGATATAACACCACCATATTTTTATAAATCAAGTATTGACATTTTTTTTTCGATTCTTATAAAATAATAATGCAATCAAAACAAAAAAATCGTTTCTACTTTCTGGAATGGACGTTGGTTGAAGATAATATTGCACGAATTCTTGAAATATTTGTTGTCCACTATACTTAGCAGCAACTCAGCACTAATTATGGACTTGACCATTCCAATATCCATGTGCTGAGTGTAGTAGAACTAGTACTACAAGGAGTACCGAAATGAAAGTATATTTGTGTTTGACCTATAACTCTATATTTGGCCGAATATTTCTTGTAATGCATGTTGAGGTGGTTAGTTTCGATTCCTTTTATCATGCCAATTTTATCCGGCAATACTTACATATTATTTTGGATTCCTATGTCCGTCTACTAGAAGATCTATGGAAACCAATTTGAAATGTTTACAACATTTCTGAGTTAGTTTGAATTTTCGCTTACCTCTTGTATCGATTGCATCAAGTCCTACTTCATCTATGTCATCCAAATCAATTGGATTACTACTCCAATGCAAATATTCAATCCAGAAATCATCGAGAATTGGGATGTTATTAAGAC